TCACCAGGCCTTTTTTCCTGATCTGTCTTAGTCTGGAAGCTCTGCTGAAACCTGCCCACCATGGGTGACCCTGCTGGTATTTGAAATACCAATGCCATAGCTTCCAGCATCATAGCCACATGCAAGCTACCATAGTACAACAAACTGACAGATGAGTGGTGGGAACACAACCTTACACAACCTTGCCAGCAAGTAAATCTAGGTTCTAGTAAAAACTTCAAAAAATAGAACTGTCTTAATTATCTGGAGCCCTGGCGGTGCAGTGGTTAAGAGTTCAGCTGCTAACCAAAAGGTCAGCAGTTCAAATCCACCAGCCACTCCTTGGAAACCCTATGGGTTCGTTCTACTCTGTCCTATAGGGTTGCTGTGAGTTGGAATCCAGTTGATGGCAACAGGTTTTTGTTTCGGTTTAATTATCTAGTGCTGCAATAACAGAAATACCACAAGTAGCTGGCTTTAACAAAGAGAAATTTATTCTTTCACAGTCTAGGAGGCTGTGGCTTCACCCTTTGAAACCCCAGAGGCCATGGCTCCACCCTTTGAGATCCCAGAGGTCGTGGCCCTACCCTTTGAGATTGAGGCAGCTCTGCTTCCTGTGCCCCTTGCCTCTTCAGCTTCTGCTTCCTGGTTCCTTTGCCTCTTGGCCCCTCGGGCCTCACTGCCCGTATCTGCCGAGCTGGGGCGAGAGTTCCAAAGCTCTTTAGCTCTACCGATAAGTGCCTGGAGCCACCCCACTCCACCAGTGAACTTCAGCTGGAAGGCACTCTGCTCTTTTTCTTGGTGGGTGGGCAAGCCTAGCTCCACCAGTAAGTGCCTGAGGGCACCCCACTCCACTAGGAAGCCTCTTGCCAAAGGCACTCTGGATGTCTTGCTCTGTGGGTTGGCTCCAGCACTGTCTCGCGCTGGTCTCCTGCTTCTGCTGCTGCCGCTTCTCTGCCACTGTTGCAGTGAGACTCACCGTTCTGATTCCAACTACACGAATAATTTATTTTATTATGATCAGCACAAAGCTGGTTCCTATGAGGCAGAGGTTAAAGATGTCCCAAATATCCAACTTTTCCAAGCTGCTGTACCGCTCCATCATCTCTAACATCAACTACTCGCTCTATCCTCAGCGCTCTCCCATCCGTCTTCAGGTTCCCTAATTCGCTGCAGCATCTCACAGAATCACAAACTGTATAAAGGAAATGGCTCATGTGGTTGTGGAGGCTGGCAAGTCCCAAATTCGTGGGTCAGTTGTAGGCTTCTCCCAACCTACGTGGCTGCAGGAGCGGACGAACCCAAACCAGCAGCTCAGACCACAGGCTGCTGGCTAACAAGGCTGAGGAAGCTGGCGGATCCTCGAATCAGCAAGTCAGACAGCAGGCCTCGGGGGAGGTCATTTGATCACGAGCTGGCCACGGGATCCAGATGCAGAGCTAGAGAGCCTCACCAGGACACACACATATATCTTAGATGCAGGCCACACCCCAGGGAAGGGCGTAACTTGAGTAAGGATGGGGCTTGAGTCACTCTCTCCTGCAAGGCTGCGACCCAAGACGCATCTTACACCAATCCTGCCTCATCAACGCATAGAGGTCAGGATCCACAACCATAAAATGGAGGACAACCACACAATACCGGGAACCACGTCCCAGCCAAGTTGACACATAACCCCAACCATCACAGGTTCCATACACCTTATTTGCATAGTCCCACTCAGTCACCATGTGTGAGTCACAAAGACCATGGCTAGAAGGACCATATTAAGTAATTCATTGCCCCACAAGACCTTCTGATGCCACTTAAAATAAATAATAATAAATAAAAAACGGGTCCGACCTAAGAGAACTGAGGCATGATTAAAAAGAAATCACACACTCTTAAAAAGTAAGGACTGTTAATTTGAAATAAAAGGATAAAGCCTTACGTTTTACTTCTGGGAACACCTAACTGAACTACAGAACCAAATTGCTTTCAACTCTTATTTATCCTAACCCTCCCTTCAATAATCTCGAACATCTTTATGGGCTGCAAATTTCACTTTTACAGTTTCTCAGTAGGTATTTGTTTTGTGCCTGGTCTACTTAGTTCATAAAAGTAAAATTAGATCAGTTCTGCCAGCCCCATACCTCTGTCTTATCGGACCCCAAAATAGCATGTACTTGATACTATAGATCTTTTGTTATCACATGAATCAAAAACGAACCGGAATTTACATTCCCAAACAGGGAATAACTCCTAACAAAATTGTTACCGTTCCATGTACAGTTCTATTGTTAATGGAAAATGTTTGTTCAAACTGGCCTCATTAGTCAATAAGAATTATTAGATATATGGTTAGTCAACAGTAATGTTCTTGAATTCCACAAATATAAGTTCCACACCTTATATTTTGTAGCCAAGCCCACCCGCAGTCACTGTTTTTAAAGAATGACAGTGCTCAAGAAATCACAATGTCTTATTTAAGTTAATAAATGATTGCATAAGAGAGTCAACTGCACAGTTTGCTAATAAATATTCCTTGTTTTCTTAGTTCCAGGGCATACATGTTTGAAAGCTGTAAGTTGGTCCAAATTTTAAGTAACGCCTATCTTAGAGATGTGGACCTATCAAAAGGATTTAATTGTTAATAAATGTACTTGGCTTTAAGCCAGAATCCAAAACTTAAAAAATATGATTTTAACGTGTTTCCCTCAGGAAAACTGATGTAGGACCAGAAATATATTAGTTGCTTTGTGCAATACTCAACTAAAAAGCGAAATGCTATCACTTTGAATTCTCCAGTCTAACTAAATAATTTAGTTAAAACACATCATAAAAAGACCTAAAATAAATTCTAAAAAAGATTTCTAATGCAAAATTAGTTGTTAAATTGCCATGTATTTCATATAGTATAAAGGGATTGCCTTTTTTTTTTTTATATAGGAAGAGAGTCTGTATAGCATGATACAGGGTTTGTAAACTTAGCAAAATACTGGTCCCTACAAGAAAAAAATTCTCGTATTCTACAAAGAAGACTTAGGAAGACGTGGGGTTGCTTGGGTATAAGTGCCAGTTTGTCACTCACTCCCCAGAAAGCAAATTTTCCTTGTCCACAAGCCCCATCCACATGACCCGTGTTCTTAAATACGTTTTTACTACTTCGTTCTTAAATATGAACTGATTCTCCAAGGATTACCATTTATCTGATTAAATTCAGCAGCATGAAAGGAAAAGACCAAAAATTGTAGGAAAAAATGACCCCCAGAGAAAAAGCAATAATTCAGCAAAGAGAAGAGAACTTTTAAAAAGCCTTATTAGTCTTCTCACAGAGATTCAAGAAGATACTACATGCGTTTAAAAAAAGAAAAAAAAAATGGATGCTTTGAAAGAGTGACAAAGAACAAGAAAGAACTTGAGAGTTAAAGCCAAAGAAATCTTAGAAAAACAAAAAGCCCAAAAGATAAATGGAGTTTTGAGAACCAACCTCTAGACATATTGTGGGAGTCTTAACTATGGTTACAGAACAGAACTTTAATGTTATCATCATTGTTGATAGAAAAAGAAAGGCCCGATGATAGAGTGATAGAGACCAGGAAGTAGACGGGGAGGAGGAAGAGGAACCATCAATATCCTCAGCTCAGAAGAGATAGCATCTATGACTTTTGGAACCAGAAAAGGAGGTTGAAGTTTGCTGCTTGAAGTTGTAGAGATCAGCAGGATCATGATACGGTCACAATGGGAGTTGATATGAGGGGAAGTGAGGGATGAATTAAATTCTCACCTTTCATGATAAGAAGTCTACTGGGAAATATCCAAAGTTGGGTAATAATTAATAAATAGTGACATACTGAGCTGCCACATTCAGCTGAAACAGCTTCGCACAGCTCCAGAGGATACTGGTCCCCTCACTGTCATTGTAGATTTGTTTCATTATGACAGTTTTCTGGCAAATGTCCATGAGGATGAGTTGCCTCTATTTTTCACAAAGTCAGCTATCAGCTAGCATAGGACCGGCACTGTACATACGTAGGTGACCACCAGAAAGACTAAAGCAGAATTCCTTAAATGTGGTTGTGCTCTACAGACCCAAGAGAGGAATGAAGAGGGGAGAACATGGGAGGGAAAGGGTACCACAGAGGCTACTGCTTTTCACTGTAATCCTTTCTGTACTGTCTGTTTCATTCATGTGCACATACTTCTTTCATTAAAATTTTGAAAGTAATAATTAAAAACAACCAGCCTCAGCCTGAGGGATGTCCCTTGTTAGCTGCCTGCCATCAAGTTGGCCCCGACTCATGGGGACCCCATGCACAACAGAATGAAACATGGCCTGATCCTGTGCCATCCCTATGATCAGTTGCAGATTGGACCATCGTGATCCACAGAGTTTTCACTGGCTGATTTTCAGAATTAGATCATGTCATGGACTGAATTATGTCCCCCAAAAAATGTGTGTATCAGTTTGGCTGGGCCATGATTCCCAGTATTGCATGATTGTGTACCATTCTGTAATCTGATGTGATTTCCTTATGTGTTGTAAACTCAGTCACTGTGATCTGACAAGACAGATTAGTGGCAGTTACCTTGATGAGGTTTACAAGATTGGATAGTGTCTTAAGCCAGTCTCTTTTGAGATACAAAAGAGAGAAGCGAGCAGAGACACATGGGCATCTTATACCACCAAGAAAGCAGTGCCGGGAGCAGAGCACGTCCTTTGGACCTGAGGTTCCTGCCCAGAGAAGCTCCCGGACCAAGGGAAGATTGATGACATGGACCTTCCTCCAGAGCCGACGGACAAAGTGTTCCCCTAGAGCTGATGCCTTGAATTTGGACTAGTAACCTACTAGACTGTGAGAGAATAAATTTCTCTTTGTTAAAGCCATCCACTTGTGGTATTTCTGTTAGAGCAGCGCTAGATGACTAAGGCAGATCACCAGGCCTTTCTTCCTAGACTGTCTTAGTCTGGAAGCTCCACTGGAACATGTTCAGCATCATAGCAACATGCAAGCACTCCACTGACAGATGAATGGTGGAGGTGCATTGGCCAGGAATCGAACCTGGATCTCCCACGTGTGAGGCAAGAATTCCACCACTGAACCACCAATGCCTCCTGGATGTCCCCACGTCCTCTGCTTTGGTCACTCCTTCCTTTCTCATCCAAATAAAATGTCACCACCCCCTCCATCAGTGACCACATATAGGAAGCCCACCAGCTCCAAACCAGTGCCTTCTTCTGAGTCAGTACCCACCACTGTAGCCAGGTCCCCTGCTGTCACCCCCTAGCGTTTCTCTCAGCTTTCCTGGTCTTACCCTGCTGGTTGCCACCCATTTTCATCTCCCTCCAGAGCAGTGCTAGCACAAAATTGTTGCTTGTGGTGGGTTTTTCTTGGAGTTTAGGTTGTTTTGGAGGCATAGGGTAGGAAACAACTTTAATTCAATAATCAGATATGCCAGTTCCTAGAAATGTAATACCATCTTCAGCCACAGGGAATTTCTAACTGCTCTGCTTCTCTGGAAGAGATCAATATTTATGCCCATTCCAAGGAAAGGTGATCCAATTTGTAAATTATCAAACAATATCATTAATATCACATGCAAGTAAAATTTTTCTGAAGATCATTCAAAAGTGGCTGCAGCATAACATTGATAGGGAACTGCCAGAAATTCAAGCTGGATTCAGAAGAGGACGTGGAATGAGGGATATCATTGCTGATATCAGATGGATCCTGGCTGAAAGCAGAGAATACTGGACAGATGTTTACCTGTGTTTTATTGACTATGCAAAGGCATTCGACTGTGTGTATCATAACAAATTATGGATAACATTGCAAAGAATGGGAATTCCAGAACACTTAATTATGCCGATGAGGAACCTGTACATAGATGAAGAGGCAGTTATTCAAACAGACTACGGGGATACTGCGTGGTTTAAAGTCAGGAAAGGTGTGTGTCAGGGATGTATCCTTTTACCATACTTATTCAATCTGTATGCTAAGCAAATAATCTGAGAAGCTGGACTATATGAAGAAGAACAGGGCATCAGGATTGAAGGAAGGCTCATTAACAATGTGAGATATGCAGATGACACAACCTTGTTGCTGAAAGTGAAGAGGACTTGAAGCACTTACTGATGAAGATCAAAGACCACAGCCTTCAGTATGAATTACACCTCAACATACAGAAAACAAAAATCCTCACAACTGGGCCAATAAGCAACATCATGATAAATGGAGAAAAGATGGAAGTTGAAGATGTTTGCGACCTGATTTTCAACCAGGGCTGTGTCTAAGAATCACCTGAGTAACCAGGCATCCCATCAATACCTGGCCCCACCTCCACCCCAGATGCTGATTTACTTAATTTGGGGAAGGGCTGGCACCTGTCTGCTTGAAGACATCCCCAGGTGATTTTAATGCGTAGCCAGGACTCAGAACCACCGTTGTACTCTCTTTGGTTGCCAGGGAACAGTCCCCAAATTCCTGTTATTTTATTATGCAAGGTAGTTAACTTTTTTTTGTTTTTCTCTCTCTTTCCAGACCATGCAACCCCTAGACTGCAACCAGATTGTAAATGATCACTTTTTCCCATTCCTCCTCTGTGTTCTCACACACGTACAGGCCTTCAGAAGGGGATCATCTCATATATATATTGCTCTGCATTTTGCTTTTATCATTTGGCTTCCTTTCATGCCTGTAAGATTGCTCTATCTCATTATTTAAAGACCACACAATATTCCATTATGCATATACCATAATTTACTTAACCATTTTCCTATTGATGTCTTTTGAGTTTTCTCTAATATTTTGCTGTTGCTAATTATGCTGCAATGAATATTTGTGTGGGTGTGTCCTTCAAAACGGATACACGTATTTCCAGAGTGGAATCACTGGGTCATTTTACATTTTGACAGGCATTACAGAAATGCTCTTGCATTTAAATGGTGTATCAATTTATTCTTCCACCAACAGTTTGTTAAAGCATCTCTTTCTCCATGCTCTTAGCAACACCATATATTTATCAATTCTTCTATTATTTGCTAATCTGCTAGGCCAAAAAAAAAAAAAACAGGTGTTGCATTGTTTCAGTTTTCGTTTCTCTGATTATTAGCGAAGTTGAACATTTTGTCGCTTTATTAGTACCTTGTATTTCTTTGTTGGATTGACAGTTTAAATTTTGATAGATTAAAAGATTTAACATTTTTGGTTTTCCTTCCTTGCCTCTCTGAGTGAGCAGAGTTTGTCCTCTTCAAGGTTAAGGGTTTGAATTCGAGTCTGCAAACTCAGTGAACAGAAGTGGAGGTAGTCCACAACTGTGACGGAGCATTTAGCAGGTGACGGATGTGAGCAAACCCAGTACCAGAGAAGCTGTCCCACTTTCCCCAAGGTTAACCATCAGATAAAGTCCTGTGATTCATCCTCGATCAAGAACTGACCATGGTACCAGTGATATACTTTTATTGACGAGTAACAGACCCCTGGGGCACTAAGTAGTAAGGAAAACTAGTTATCTTAGATCACAAGTCTTGACGTAGGGCAGGTCCACGGTGGCTTCGTTCAGCCAGCTCAACAACATCCCGCAGAGCCCAGTTCTTCCCGTCTTCGCAGAATGCCGTCTGCAACTTCGTGTTTATCCTGCATTGGCTGCCCTCATGAGCCCACAGACGCTGCTGCAGAAAGCAGCATCCGGAGACAGAGAAAAGATGTTTTTCGTCATGCGTCTCTTTAAAAGAGTGAAGAACCCTTTCCACGCGTCCCCCACCAGATTTCGCCTAACATCACATCAGCCTCAGTTGCATCATGCCAAAGAAAACCAGTGGCTGGATAATGAGATTACTATTACTGATTCAGGCTATCTGGGGTCAGAGAGGAGCCCTGGTGGTGCAGTGGTTAAGAGCTCAGGCTGCTAACCGAAAGGTTTGCAGTTCAAATCCACCAGCCACTCCTTGGAAATCCTATGGGGCAGTTCTACTCTGTCCTGTAGGATTCCTATGAGTTGCAATCAACTCGACAGCAACAGGTTTGGTTTTTTGGTTTGGGGTCAGAGAGAGGAGCCCCAGTGGCACAGTGGTTAAAGTGTTCAGCTGCTAACCAGAAGATTGGTGGTTGGAACCTACCAGCCACTCCACAGGAGAAAGATGTGGCAGTCAGCTTCTTTAAAGATTTACAGACTTGGAAACCCTATGGGGCAGTTCTCCTCTGTCCTACAGGGTTGCTATGAGTCAGAATCAACTTGACAGCAGTGGGTTTGGTTTTTTGGATTAGGGTGAGACAGAGGCCTGGACACCCCAGTGCCTGAACAAAACCGTTAGCAAGGAAGAGGGGGACATGGTGGTTGCACAGATGATCAACAGTGTCTATCACCACCATGCTCATTTATAAGGTGTATTTAAGATCTGATTTTAAATTAATACACAAATCCCTCAGTTAATCTTATGAACATATCAGGTTTGAGGTTTGCCCCCTGGAAACTTAGCATTGCAAAGAGGGCAGTATGTTCACATTTCTGAGTAAATAACCTAGCTTTAAAAGGAATAGATTTTGAAGAGTGAGCGTTCATGGTCGATTCCCACGCACTCTGCATGGAGTGAATTTTCTTAGTTGTGATCTGGGTGATGCAAATGGATAATGTGCTTGGCTGCTAACCAAACAGTTGGAGGCTCGAGTCCACCCAGAGGCACCTGGGAAGAAAGGCCCAGTGATCTGCTTCTGAAAATTCAGCCATTGAAAGCCCAATGGAGCACAGTCCTACTCTGACCCACGTGGGGGCACCATGAGTTAGAATCAACTTGCCGGAAATTGGTTATCCCAGATGTGAGGGAAAGCTGCCAGACAGGTGGGGCCCACGTATGGCAGAGTAGGGGAACTGAGGTGGCACTCATAGGGTTTTGTCTGTGGAAACATGTCTTCCTCTGGGTAGTTGTCCAAGGAAGCTGAGGCCCATTGTCAGGGTCATCCCGTGAGGCTCATACCAAACACCCAGACGTGTGTGCATGGGGAGGCTGATGGGTGGAGAGAGGAAGTTCATTCTAAGACACCTTTTTAGAACACCCAGCTCCCTATAACTTGGAGGATCCAACTAATGAGGTTCTTCCTGCCTACTTCTCTGTCCTTGCCTCCAAAGCGGGCTCATGCTGAAAAGGACAGATTTCAAATGTCAGTTATGAACGGCAAACAGAGAAGCAACTGGGTGCCAAGGCCTAACCTTGGAAGAGTGTGAGTGAATTCCCATTACCGAGCAACCCGAGGGCTACCTCTTGTCCTGGCTCCTGCAGCTCTAGGATGCTTTTGATACATTTTTTGGCACGTGAATGAATCGGGGCTGACTTTCTGGAATGAAGAGGATCTCCACACACCTACTTCTGCTATACCCTTGGTCGGAAACTGAGTCTGCGGAAGAGGCAAAACCAGCTTCAGGCACCAGGGTGGTTACCTGGGGTGAGGTGTTGGGGAGGGGCACCCTGGAACATTGGATTATGTGTGTTGGGGGGCGGTGAGCATGTGTGCTGCAGGTTGTTCCACCAGGGTTGTATGCTAGAGCTACCCACCCATCACCGAGGCCTACACCCAGACAGACTATATGAGAATCTCAGGGAGTGGGTGGAACAGGGTTGAAACTACCACCTCCAAGTTGTTAGAAATAGTTATCTCAGCATGTTACCCTAAGAGTTTTGTTCAAAGAGTGCCACTTTAGAGAATGTCATGAAGGGAACTCACTGCCCCCTCTGCCTCTGCCACCAACTCCAGACACACTCTGTCTTGGGGACAGAAATCAAGAGGATGGAGCCCTCAGCAGGCAGGCTTCTCCTCCTCTGCTGCGTGACTGAGCCCAGGACCACAGCCACAGCCCTGGGGAGATCTCCCAGGCTGGTCTCCCTCACTACCCTTTTTTGAGTCACACTGCTTTGGGTTTTTGATGTTGTTGTGTACTGTCAAGTTGACTCCAACTCAGCGGCCCTATATGACAGAGTAGAGCTACTCTATAGGATTTCCTAGGCTGTAATATTTACAGGAGAAGATCACCAGGTCTTTTCTTCTGCGGAGCTACTGGTGGGTTCAAATTGCCAACCTTTTGGTTAACAGCCAAGTGCTTAACCATTGCACAACCAGGATTTCTGATGGGGGAGGATAATTGTCAGTCATGAGCTCCCTTGAGCAATAAAAAGTTCTTTTAATATTATAGTGTCTTTGAAAGCTGATTAACAGAGCAAGAATTCAGGTCTAACTGCTGGGAGAGAAAAATAACAATTGTTAAAGCCGTGAATCTTGAAAAAGAGAACAAGGAGAGGTTTTTAGTTAGAAAGTGTGCTCTCAGAAAATATGTAGAAGAAATCCATTTATTTGCATATGCTGTGAACTGGAAAAGCTTGAGAGTCTGGGTTTGCATTCTAGCCATTCCACATCCTGGTCCTGGTTTCCTCATCCATAAAATTGGCAGAGCTCAGGGGTGCCGTGAGGACCTTGAGTACTGATAACTCTGCTCACAGGTGATCCAAGGAGAAGTGGGCAGGGCGGGATAACCTTTACCAAATCGCTTTGGGAATGGTGCAGCAATGCTGGCTAACCCTGAGATCACAAACAGAACCTTCCCTGGATGGTTTCAGGCCCACTGGGTCCCTTCCCTATCCACAGGCCTCACAGCCCACAAAAGAAGTGTCTGCAGGCTGGGAGCCAGGCAAGATGGACTTGTCCCCACTTTCCTTTACTCCCTCCCTGAGAGAGAACAGAGCAAGCTAAGCCCTGTCATATAAACTGAATATGGAGTTGAATGATAATTTCTCTTAATTTAATGCCAGTCTCACAGTCACCAGCTGACTTTCCAGGGGAAGGCATTCTTCCCTGTGCAAACTGGCTCTGTCCTTTAACACCTGTATAACTTTGGGCAAGTGCCTTAACCTCTCAAAGTCTTGCTCCTCAATCATCTGCAAAATAAATATGGTAGTATGGACTTCATAGAATTCTTGCAAAGATTATGGTCATCGAGATAGAGTATATAAAGTGTTAGCACAATGCCCAGAACATAGGAAAAAAAAACCCCAAACCCACTGCTTTCGAGTCGATTCCGACTCATAGTGACCCCATAGGATTTCCAAGGCTTTAATCTTTACAGAAGCTGACTGCCACATCCATCTCCCTCGGAGCCACTGATGGTTTTGAACCACCATCCTTTTGGTTAGCAGTCAATAGCAAAAAATACCGTTACTGGTTTGTTGAAAGATGTTTAGCTTAGCAATTACTTTGTTAATCTAATTTAAGTAATAATGTACATTTTTAAGATAATAAGTCTATATTTACTGAGAAAATACTTTCTAATGTATTCCCTCACTCTTCAGTCTGACTCTGTACCTTACTAAATTCAAATTAATGAAGTTTTTGTCATACCGTTAACCAAATGGGGTTTGGGATTAGGCATTGTGCCTCCACTGTCTACCCAGGGGAGAATGTCTGAACAGTGGACCTTCTACTAGCAAGGGACACTCCGAAACCTCCCAGTCATAAGCCCCTGGATCCAGCATCACCAGAGTCACTTCCTGATGGCTCAGAGGTAAGGAAGTTGTAGCTATGTCCTGTACTTGAGCCACGTCCACTGAATCTGCCCCTGTCTTTTCTGGTAGGCGGTCAAGCGGTTCTTGAAACAAGAGTGCAAGTGTCATGGCGTGAGTGGCTCATGTACTCTGAGGACATGCTGGCTGGCCATGGCCGACTTCAGAAAAACGGGTGATTATCTCTGGAGGAAGTACAACGGGGCCATCCAGATCGTCATGAACCAGGACGGCACTGGTTTCACTGTGGCCAACAAGAGGTTCAAGAAGCCAACAAAAAATGACCTCGTGTACTTTGAGAATTCTCCAGACTACTGTATCAGGGACCGAGATGCAGGTAAGTTCAAAATACTTTATTCACAGTGCCTAATTCTTTCAACAGCTAATACTCCATAAATTAAATGAAGCTCTGCATTTCAGCCAGCTGTTTCTATAAATGCAACCTGTTGCCTTCAGGTTGGTTCAAAGCTCGTGTTTCTTATAATTCAGACTTAAAGCACACAGGGTGCTCTCCTAAACACCTGGAGAAACTGGTTGACAATGGGCAAATTAGGAGACATGGGAACCCAACGGGAAGAAGGTTTGTGGCGAAGAGTCCAAACACGTAGATTAGCAAAATTCTTCAGCCTGGACAAAATTCTTAAAGCTTGACAAATGTACACTGTGTGTCACAACCTACCATCTTTCATGGAATCCTGAAGCTGCAAGGATGATAGCTTTGAGCGTATCGCCTCCGCTTACAAATCCCACCTCGGGGACTTGTTAGCCTGTGCTGATATCTGCCATACTTCACACATCCTTGCTCTTTCCAGTGTGCTCAGGAGTTGCCAAGTACTAGAAGAAGCAAGAATCCATTCCCACTTGCTAGACTGTAGGTGGGTGGTGTGTGAGGGCAGTGTAAGAGGCACTTCGTTTATTAAAGCCACACCCTTCTCTTCCCCAGACGGCACCTTCCCCATCTTGAACTCACTCAAAGAGCAACTCTGTCACCTCAACACAGTAGCTATTCGCATCTGTCTGGTTTTACACAGGTGCTGTCCTCCACCTCTCACCATCATGACCAACACTGAACTCCAGGCTTAGCACCTTCCTTGCAAAGACTCTGGTGCAAAATGAAGGTGATTGGGAGCTCACAGCCCACTTTGGCTCAAGCCAACTCCTCAGACTCAGTAGGAAGCAAGAAGCCCATCATCAGGCAAAACATCCTCTAATTCAAATTCTGAGTTTATTTTTCATTCCAAAATAATTGCAAAGAAATTAGTAAAACAGTAAAGATGGCAGCAGGCTCCTAAGCTTAGGTTGACCAAGAGGCATGATTACCAGAGAACATGACGAGAAGTCCAAAGCCTCTTTTGCCCCTGAGTGAATCAGTGTCCTTCACAGTTTGATGAGCTCGTTCTTTGCAGCAGCTGAGCAGGTCTGTATGTGCAGACTGTGGATTAATAACTACAGAGCGAAAGGATTTAGAGTCTGAACAGCTACATTCTGCACCCTGCTTCATTCCTGACATGTTTTGGGACCTTTGACAAGTCATTCTATCTGTCAGGCCAAAGTTTCAGCCAGGTTGCCAGGAACCTGTGCCTTGACACAATTGTCCCAGAGGTCTGGCTCCCCCTCTGCCATTAACTAGCTGTCTGACCTCAGCCTCCTCAAATGGAATGAGGGGGAGGGGTGATGACATCTTGATCATTTTAGGTACTAGGTATTGATTCCTGTGTGCAAGGTACTGGGTTAAGACCATTGCACACATGGTCTTATGTAATCCAGAGATCAACCCTGTCACATCAATGCATTGAAACTGGTTACTTTAAAAAAAAAAAAAAAAGAAGATAGAGGCTCTTGTTTGATCAGCACCAACCAAGAACTAAATTCACATCCTTTTTTTTGTTTGAAGTCAGAGAAGCTAGTCCTAGATATCGTCAAGAGCCCTTTGGTGGGGCAAATGATTAACATCCCTGGCTGCTAACCAAAAGGTTGGAAGTTTGAGTCCACTCAGAGGCACCTCAGAAGAAAGGTCTGGTGATATACTTCTGAAAAATCAGAAAACTGTGGAGCACAGTTCAAACATATGGGGTCACCATGAGTTGGAATTGACTCGGACAGCAACTGGTTTTTTTTTTTTTTTGTATCATTATCCCCATCATATGGATGGGAAAGTGAGTGACTTGGTCAAGATCTCATTTGTAGGAGGAAACAGAGCTCAGGCTGCCTGACCCAGTGGGCTGTGCTCTTGACCCTGACATTGCACACTTGTCCCTACCTATGTCCCGGGACTTGTATGTGAAAAGGTTTTGTGAAGCAAAAACCTTATTTCAAATGTAAGAGGACTTGCTTCGCAGGACATCTTTTCTGGTTCTTTGGATTGACACAGTGTCTACAGGGGTGTAGTTGTAGAATATTTAACTGCCTGCGGATGGTCAATGTGATAAAGACCCTTTCCTCCGAGAAAACCTGCTTCAACTTACAGAGGTGCCTGCCAGCCTTGCTCTTGACCACGTGATCTATGGCCTTCTAAAGACAAGCCTTTATCCTGGCAATTTTCTACTAGAAAATTGTGCTCTAGCAAGTCAGTCAAAACAAGTGTAGAAGTTTGTACGTATAGAATCATCTTGGAGTTGCCTCTCAACTCTGTTTATGGAGGTAAGGAGAAGTGACAGAGAGAATCTGAGCTCTCCAAGAAGGAAGGCTTCCTGCCTGTAAGTCATGGTAGGACATGGGAGCCTCTGCTCTGAGCCTCTGCTCCTCATCTGTGAAATGAAGGTGCTGGATCAGCGCTCACATCCTATCAATCTACACTAACGAACGACCTGAATGTGTGTGATGCAGAATGATGAGTGAGCACGTCACTGACAAACTCTCTTCCCTGCACTAGAATCATATTACATCAGGAAGGGTCTGTTTTCTGATAAATAGAATTCCCATGTGTTAGAAATGGGTTACCATCATGGGTATTCAAGCTTCAAAACAAGTCAAAAGATTACAGTCAAATTTAAATCAAATAATACATATTTTTTTTCATTTTTTCTGTTAAGATGGACATTAACCCTTCCCTAGATTACATTTCATACCACACAGTCTGCTTTGTTGTCATTTTGTTTTGTTTTCCTTTTGTTTTTCATATCATGCACATTGAATATTCAACGTATTGGGTAACTTATACTTGGCAGCATTGGAAAAGCAATGATGATGAGCAGGTTGAATGTTGTCAAATAATAGGTGTTCGGAACTGATTGACTTTATTCTTGCTAGTCAGCAACTACTTCAAGTTCTAGTTAACTAGGTATTTGACAGATGTGAACTGGCTTGTTTTGTCAGTTAGGTTTGTGTGAGTGGATAAAGTTTACAGGTCTAGTCCACTGTTTCCCAAAGCGAGGGCTTCTTCAGAGACCTCTTGAGTCTGAATCTGGAGTATTCCTGAGACTCAGTATACTTTTCAAACTTAAGCACCTCTGAGTTTAAAAAAATCAATGATTTAGGTAATCCACGACTCCTGATTTTCCCTAAGCATTAGGTAAGAAGAAATTCAAGGAGACTTTCTTTCTTTTCTCTCTCTCTTTTTTTTTTGGTAGTACCTGATTTCTTATAAAGGAAAAAAAAAATTTCTTTATTCGAAGGGCTGTAGATAAATGTCACTCAAAAAAATCCCTCACCCAGGCTTGCTGAGTATGAGTTGTTCTGTCACGTTTTGGCCCTGTGTCTCCAGGAACCCTCTTTTATTGTGTGAGTAAGCACAGTGAAATGATTTCAGCCATCAAAGGTTTCACTGGAATTAGCTTGAAAGAGATTATTACCAAGTCATCCCTCTAGGGAAGTCCTGAAATAGCAACACTAGGACTAGTTAATTTTGATGAGGAGGATCGTGTAAGGGTGAGTTAGGACCCTGGGCTATTCCTGAGGGAGGACAGACCTAGCTGGGGAAGGGAGATAGGAACGTTGGTTGAGCACCTGTAAGAGTCAGGCCCTGTGCTACACACCTCGTGTGCATGTTCTCTGAACCTTTACAGCAGTTACCTCCATTTATAGAGAAGACTGAGGCTCTCAAAAGTTACTTAACTTTTCCAAGACTGCATGGCTTCTAAGTGGTAAACAAAACAAAACAAACATTAAAAAAAAAAAAAGCAAAGCAAAAATCCTTTCTCACTTTACCGTTTTACCTCCTGAAATTTGGTGTAGTGGTAATGGTGGTAGTGGTGCGTGCATGTGTGCGTGAGTGTGTGTGTGCGTGTGTGTGTGTTGGAGGGGGCCCGTCCTGTGTAATAAAGAGGCAGCATGAGGATATGGGAACTTAATGGGCTTAGGCACCCACGAAGAGGTGGGGTGTTGACAGTGATCAGAATCAAGCTCCACCTATTTTAGGTGAGACTGACTTGAAGCCCTTTATAATTAGAAGTACTTCAAGTTTTCAAAAGCATTAGTATCTTTTTTTGTTCCTAAAAACTGATTAAGGAAGGTATTATTATGGCAGCAACAACAACAAAGGATACTTTCCCCTGGTCTTCAGCTGAAGAAAGTGAGTGCTGTGCAGTTCAACTATAAATACTCCTTCACACAGCTCAGACGCGAAGAGTACATAGACCGGCTGATGTGCAGGTGACATTTTGCAGGCCAAATTGGAGGCTAGATCTTGGAAGCTGGGCTTTCTGGGATGGGTATTCTGGTGGTTCTGTGGTTATCTATTCTGGTTATTGCTCCAGGCATCTGTAAATCAAAGAAGCCCTTAAGTTAGAGATAGGTTCATCCCTAACTGAGGAATGCTGCTCTCCTCCAGAGCCGTGTCTGCACCTAATCACAGGCCACTTTCACTGGTTCTGATGTAAAAACCCTGACCTGGGCTAAAGGTCACCCTGAGGTCTCCTCTCCCACTGTAGGAAACAAGCAATCCTCCACTTTTTCTCCAGTCAAGTTCAAGAAACAAATGGAGTTCAATAGTTGCTTAACTTGTGGCCTGCTGAAAGCCCGATACCTGGCGGACAGCTGCAGGCTGTGGATGGTGTGAGCTCGAAGGTATCAGGTTTTTTGCCCACATACATCATATGTGGCAAACAGAGCTCAGAACCCATGGGAACACAGTCTCAATTGTGGTTTTCAGAAGTTAGTGTCCTAGACATGCCGCCTGGTGTGACCAGATTTGGGGAAACTTGTGAACACTGTAATTGTGACCCACTGGCTAAGTAAACACAAAGAAACAACACATCAGTCAACAGCAATGGGTGGACCTTATTTGGATGCTAATATATACAGTTCCCACCAGTATATCTTAGATCTTCATTTCTTTGCTGAACAAACATTTATTGAGCCCCTTGTATGTGCCAGACACTATGATAAGCCCTGGGAATA